TCGTTCTGACTTTTCTCTCGTAAACTCTCACGTTTTTGTTTCTTTCCTCTCTATTCTTTTCTCGCAGGAGTCCGCTTATGTTTTTGGGTTTGTGCAGCGCAGGTTATATATTTATACCCGGAAGAGAGGGTTCTAGCTATCCGTTATGAGATTTTTGGCCTTAAACTCCATTTAACAAGTTTCCATGTTTGAGTATATGCATGATCGTGAATATATTGTGCATTGTACAATGCCGGTCACCAGTATAAGGAAAGTCTTGATTCGTTTTTTTTAATGGAATTATACATGGTTTGCATTAATATTGTGGTAGTAATATTAGAGCATCTCCAATGCTACAATGTGCACGGTGCACATGTGGCATGAGAGAGATAGACACAAAATTTTGATTTTATGACATTTCTTTCTCTGTCGTTCCACGGTCTTATGTATTTTTGGTAAGTTTTTCGCTGCAATGTCAACTACAATGTCTACATCTAGACATTGTGCTTGACATTGTGAAGAAAAACTTACCAAATGATATAAGATCCTTCAAATAAGGAGAGAGATATTTTATTTATTGTATTTTGATTGGCTATCTCTCATGCCACGTATGCACCGTTAACGTATTAGCATTGGAGATGCTCTTATTAGCTTAAATATACGGACTCTTACTATTATGGTAGTAAAACTTTTACACTATTACTATTGTGCTAAAAAGTCAAGCCTTCTATATAGTTATGCCTGCACGCATTTACGTAACATAGATTTAATTGAGTTTTAACTTATAACCTTTTAAATTAGAATTAATTACATAAATATGACCAAAATAAAGATGATTTACAAAAATGTGATTAGTGACTAGAGTAGTAATGAAATCATAGCAATTCATGTTAAAGTTTTGAGCTTAAGTTACCACAACACCATATTTGTAGTAATGAATAATCATATTTATGTAAATATGTTATATTTTAGTGATATTCTTGTAAAAAAAACTTTAAATTAACACTACTTTATCTAAAATGTCAAAATTTTTATCTAACATTTTATGTAGAATGTTTTTTTTTTTAAATTTTCGGAGTGTCACACATGGTATCTGACTCTGGTCGCCCATCCGTCCATGATCCTGTTTGCGAATAACGCCGGGAATCCGAACGGCTAGGAGGAGCGGTTCTTTCTCGCTGGAGTGGGCTCCCCGATGCCATTCTCTGACAGATGGAATGCCTATCCGGTGAAGTCCGGCCCGCCGAGCCTTTCGTAGCCCAGGCTGGACTAGGTGCGTCTGTTTGTACTTGCATTGTCCTATCATTGGCCAACACCTCGATGTAGCTCATCCCAGGGTTCCCTCAGTATAGATCCCCCGGTGACTAGGGCGTTTGTAAACATGTTGGCCCCTAGCCGTTCGTCCATTTCATCAACTTGTAGGACCTCATCCCTCCACTTTATCAGGAATTTAGACAAGGACTCATCCTTTCCTTGTTTCACGTTCATCAGGGACGTGAATGATTTTCTTGGGGGTGGTGCTGGCCGCGAACTGGGCCATGAACTGCTGGGATAGCTGTTCGTAGTTGTCGATGGTCCCGGGCCTCAGCTGCCTGAACCATTCTTGTGTTGAACCCCTCAAAGTGCTGAAGAAGAGCCTGCAGATGGCCTCGTCCGATGCTCCAAGCATGGACAGGTTCCCCTGGAAACTGATCAGGTGTGCCTTGGGATCCCCGGGTCCCATTATACACCAGCCCGCTCGGTGGCCTGCAATCCCTGGGGATCTCTGCAGCCATTACGCGCGGTGTGAAGGGCGATGTGAGGGAGTACCAGGAAGTGGTGGGGGTGTTCTCCGCTCGTCTATCCATCTCAGCGATTCGTCTTTCCATCGCCTCTAGCCTAGCCACCTGTGCGGCCATTTCTGGGGACACAGGGGCCGCGGGCCGCGAGCGCGACGTTTGTTTCGGGTGCAATCGCCCCGGGTTGTCTCCGGGTGATGTGAGCACCTCGCTTTTGGAGGCGGTGCCCGATATTGCTTGCGGCAGGGGCAGTCTCCCCATCCTGATTCCTTTGGGGGGCGTTCGGCGTGCGAGCCTGATGGTCGTCGCGCCATCCGTAGCGGGGGGGGGGGGGGGGGGGGGGGGGGGGGTACTTGCGCTGGTATGCCCTTCCGTGTTCTGGGAGGGTGGAGTTCGGCCCAACCTTGTATGGACGGACGTATGACGTCCGGCGGACTCCGCGGTTTCGTCGAGTGACTGCATGCTATGGAAAGGAGATACGGGCGTCCGGATAGTGTTTGCAGAGTGCACTTCGTCATTTGCCTCTTGCTCGTCCGCCATCCGTCGCATAGTTTCTGCCAGTTCCCTCATGAGACGGGGATCATGCCTGGCTTCGTGGGGAATGAGGCTGGTGAGGCCGTCATCGCCATCGGTGGTCCATAGCGTTTCAAAACGCTGTGTGGTCTGCCCGCGGCTCCTTCGGCCACTTTCCAGCCGCTCCGAGAGGTCGCGTTGCTAGTTGTTGTTTCTTGCCATCGTACTTGTTGTGGGTAGATTTAGTAGCTGTTTTGGGAGAGTTTTGGAAACTTTTAATTCAGTTTCCCACAGACGGCGCCAGTGTTGAGCTTTATTCCTTCAGCCTTTGGGTCCAACACGTAAGCCCAAAGGTTTCGAGTGGAGCGGTGTATGTGTGTATGAGTAAACTAACCCAACAAGCAAATAAGATGGATTAAGAGAATAAAGAAGCAGTAAAGGACCGAATATTATTAATGATGAATAGAGCCCCGATACAATACTTTCGCTAAGGCCGGAGGCCGTTCGACTTATCCTGCAGAAGAAGAGCTGCGAGTAATAAGGTAATAAGCTAGAGTGCTAGGAATAGTAAGTTGCCAACCCTTTACAATGAAATAAATGCTGCTATTTATACCACCAATGGGCAGTTGACTATGCTAACGTGGAAGGCTGCAAGTGGCTGGTGTCTCAACCACCAAATCTTCAGCATTAAATGCGTTTTCCGCCAGGATCTGGTTTTCCCGCCTAATTGTGGGGGACGGACGTCCAGTTGGGTCGGGGGCCTGCTCCTGGTGACACTGCTAAAGGTTGTGGGCCGTCCGTACTCTGGCCCTTTAGAGAATTTGTCATATAGATTTGGATTGGGCATCATGTGGCTGCGGCTATTGACGGCGACGTTCGTCGCCACGATGTTTGTCCGCGGGCTTGATCCACCGTTATCCTGTCTGGACGTTCGTCGGGGTGGGCTGCCTTGTTGGGCTGGACGTTCGTCCAAATGAGGGGGTGAATGGGCCGATCCTCCATTTGGGCCATTTACCCAAAAAGCCTAAAAAGTCCCGTGATTTTCTCCCTTTCCGGTTTCCACGTAAAGATCAAGTGTTTATACACATTTATATCTATATATATTATATCGTGTGGATTAAACTCAACAGTAGAACATTAATGTAAAATACTACATGTTGCATTTATTTAAAAACGGTGGTAGTATATATCTACAGTGTGTAATAGATTAATATAGGCGACTAGAAAAAATGAATGAGAAAAAGTAGTGGAAAACATTGAAATGGAAGCAAATACAGAAGATGGCGTAATAATAATTTTGAGATAGTTTGAAAGGCTATGTATGTAGCGAGACGTTGATGTATACAAGAAACGAAAAAATAGGGGTGAACGCGGTTCGGAACAGTCCGATAAATTGGTAAAACCCTTAATGTATCAGTGAGGTTTTTAACGGTCCGGTACGGTCTGGTTCCAAGGATGGAACCGTTCGGTACCATGTCATTTCGAAACGGTACAAAACGGTACGGTACAATGCCAAACACATGCTAAAAAATTTGAACAAATCTTGCAATTAGTAGATATCATCACACCAACCAACTCACATGAAATATTGATATAAATACAAGAAATTGTATACGTAGTACTAAAATTCACAAATACACAAAAAAACTAAGAAAAAGTATAGTAAAACGATGTCGCACGAGATAAATATCATCTCTAATTTACTAAGTTCATGTGAAAATATAAAAAATAATATCATCAAATTGTTGAATATGATAGAAATTTTCAATGTTCTTCTTCTTCATTCTAGGTTAAATATTACTCCGTAGTTCTAATTTAATTCATAGTTGAACCTTGAGAGTTAAGATTTAAACCATATTAATTAAGTTGTAAAATTGCACGAATATGATATAACAAAAAGTCATGTACACTACATTACTAGAAATGAATAGTCATTAATGATTTCTAAAATTTTAATATTCTTTCAATACATACCAAAATATAACATAAATTGTCTTAAAATAAAAAATAACAATATATATAGAAAATATTCATGTAAAGTAGGTCTAAAAGTTAAAATTTCAGGCCTCTTTTAGTTGAGGGGCTTCCGGGATGAATTTTTTGATGAACTTTTGTGAGAATGTTCTCCATGATGTGTATATTATATATACCAAATTTCAGATTAAAATTTAATCGGGATGTCACTTAAATATATATATTTTTAAATTGGGCAGTTTTTTATACATATAACATGCAATTTTTTTTCAATAATTTAGTTAACTAACTCCCCGATTGAATTTTAAGTTGAAACTTAGTGGACACAACATACACTTCATGGAGAATATGCTCAAAAAATTTCACCAAAAAATTCGACCTGGAAGCACTTCAAATGAAAGAGGCCTAAACTTGTAAGTTTTAGCCTACCTTAGGAGAACGAATATATATAAAAACCCACATTTAGCTATTTTAGGGATGCATGAATACATACTTGGGCTCTAAAATTGTTGGTCTATAAAAGAGATCTATAAATATAGAAAAAATATAAAAAATTCAATTGCATTATTTTCGAACGGTTCGGTCCGGTATTTTTCGGTTCTCAAAATCTAGGACCGGTCCCCTACCCGTTTCAAACGGTACGGTTTCGGTACGGAACAAAAATCTATAGAACCGTTTAAATACCCGGTATTCGGTTCGGTACCATTACGAGACGGTTCGGTACCGATTCGAATCGGGTTTTATGCCCATCCCTACAAAAAATGCAGTGGCAGACTTGAATAAATGAGTGAATAGTTTGTGGGGCTAAATGATTATGCGCTGCACATGCATGTTTTTTATACATGAAACGTACATAGTTGGATCGATCTGAGATTATTATTACAATTACAATTACAATAATAAAACCCAAATTAAGTTATTATTACTCCGTTCGTAATTCATTCCCCTGGCCTACGTAATGGTGGAAATGAAACGTACGTACTATACCGCAGCTCAGCTCAGCTCAGCTTTGTGTGATAACATACATCGTCGCTATGATCGCCATGGCCCCCACAATGGCGTCGGAACTAAACACGTGGCTGCTTCCCATTGGGTGAACGCCCCCACTGACGTCCAATGCTCCGTCGTACACCATTGAGTTGTCCATACCCGCCGCCTGCTCTTCTACCCCGCCACTGTCCGCAATCGCTGATGATTTTTGGCTGAATCCAATTTTTGAGTCACTCACATTCAAATCCTCATCCAATTACATACATACACTAATAATAAAAACACACGCCAACAACCCACCAAAAATGTCTCTTCAAATCAGGACCCGCCCTCCCAGCCTACAGGAAGCGTATATAGTACAACCGGTTGTAGAGTGAGAACCGTACAACCGGTGACATTTTTGTATTTACGTGAAATTCATATCTTGTACTAAATGACCATTAAAACACATCTATTGAGCATGCGACATATGTTGTTAAGCATTAGAAGCATAACAATGAGCATCGTGATATCTGCTTCATGTCTTCAAATTTACTTTCTTTTCCTTATTTTTTTCTTTATAAAACTTATTAAATTATATCAATAATCAACTCTTATGAACTTCAGTATGCGGATTTAATGCAATATGATACTTTTGAAATATGCATTGTTATGCCATTTTACAAATGAGCATCACATGAATACCTGTTGAGCATACACAACTTATAAAATGAGAATTGATATGAAAATCATAAGTACTTTTAATTGAACATCAAGATATTTTCATTGAGCATCAACTTGAAATCATAAGCACCAGTGATTTTTATTATGCGATTGTGATGAGCATCAAGTCAATTCTTTTGAGTATTAGGAGTCTAACAATGAGCACCAATGATTTCTGATTCATATCTTCTAATTCACTTTCTTTTTATTATTTTTCGTTTACAAAAAATTCTCAAATTATGATTATAATCAATTTCAATTTATTCAATATCCGAATCTAGTGTAACTTTCAAAATGAGTATATGTAACTTTCAAAATGAGCATAAAAAATTCAAAAGCTCATTTGTGTATGCTCATTCATTTTGACCTTGTACTCATTTGAGTTTAATTCAAAAGCTCAATTTGTTTTAATTCTTTAATTAAAACAATACCAAATGAGCATATGTAACTTTCAAAATGAGTATAAAAAAATTCAAAAGCTCATTTGTGTATGCTCATTCATTTTGGCCTTATACTCATTTGAGTTTAACATAATGTAGTATGATACTTTGAAATGTGCAACATATTAAAATTAGCATAAAGAGGTACCAACTGAGCATACATAACTTACAAAATGAGTATAAAAAATTCAAAAGATCATTTGTGTATGCTCATTTTCAATTTTATACTTATTTGAGTTTAACATAAAACTCATTTTTAATATGCTTACTATTGATTTGTGTATGTTCATTCTTTTTAAGCTTATACTCATTTGAGTTTAATATGAACTCATTCCAAATTCGTCATCAAGAAATACGAACTCAAATCTCCTAAATCATCTTTCAATCTGTCTTCCCTGCATACTTCTTCTCGCAGCACCGACCAACAAAGAAATCACTGAGAGCCGCCGTCTCTTGCGCAGCTCTGCAAGAGGAGAAGAGAGTGGCGAGAGGAGAGCTTGAGGAGAAGAGAGCGGCCAGAGGAGTGGTCTGCCTTGTGCGCGAGATCAGATAGAAGAAATCAGCGAGATTGAAGAAACATCGGCGAAGTCTTGTGCGAGCAACGCAGAAACATGGGCGAAGATCAGAGAAGCCGTTAGGGCAAGAAGCGCAACAGCCTAAAAAGGGCCAGTTGTACCGTGCGCACGATACAACCGGCTGTACGGTGTATTTTACCCAGCCTACAGGCCCGAAAAAATAGAAGAAAACTTGGGCTCCTATTTTTTCTTTAATTATATAATAAAAAATGCGACCTAATAATTTTTAGTGACCATAATTATATTCAAATTTTACATCATACTGAGTAATACAACTTACTTATAGTAACTTATAGTTACATTTTAGTCCACATGTTTTTTATTAGTTAGGGAGTGTTTTGATCTACTTCTTAAAACTGTTTCTGCTCTTTTAGAGAGCAGAAACATATATTGGAGTGTTTTGGTGAAAGTGTAGAAGTAATTGTGGATGCTCCAAATTGCTCCTAAAAGCAACTTTTTAGAAGCTAGTGGAGATCAGCTTCTGAAAATTGATTCTGATTCTGCTTATGCTTTTAAAAAAGAAGTAGAAGCAGAATCAACTACAAACACGCCCTTACTACGTTTTAGGAAACACTACAAATAGCAGCGTTTTGGGTTATCATTTTGAAATAGGTCATTTCCAACTAATTGCTAATTTGCTATGGCCAAATGGCTAAATTACCAAATATTTTTTTGCAACAAGTCAACTTATTTCGCTAGTTAAACCTGCTAATTGAATCAACAATTAACAATCTGCTAACATAATCCATTATCCGTTAACCCCCATACACGCATATCGTGTGAGTAGGCTTTTTTTGCATTTTAAAATTCAAATAATTAGGGTTTTGATGTTTTATTTTTGTTGAGGGTTTTGAAAATTTTAGAACAAGTAAAACATCGATCTTAAAAGGGGCAAGTTTTTTAAAAAATAAACATTAATTTTAATTTTTAATTATGACCAGTTGTACCTTTTCAAAGCAACACGATTGTTGCTGAAAAAAAATAAAAGGCACGCCTCTTCACACATTATAAGTATTATGTAGAAAATGTACATTTATATATTATCTATATACTATAATTTTCGGGCCATGCTTTTAGGCATGCCCGGGCCTATACTATATCCCAAGCTAGCCCATATTTTTAATGGTCCGAGCCCGTGACGGTGTGCAAATATATATGTCCAAACCTGCTCATTTGTATGGTCGGGCCGACCTGATTTTGTACAGGTCTAAAGATAGTGTATTGCCCATAGATTCGAAAATGGACATGACCGCCCCAACCTCAAATTCTCACTCAATTGGCCTACCTGGCCACTTGTATTTTATTAATTAAAATATGAGAAAATGTTATAATTGAGATTAGATACAATCACTACCCCAGAATGCGGCCCAAGACTGGGACATATATTCCTGGTTCCAGGCCGATTCTGACACCCCGCTGTTCCTAATCTGGTTATGGTCTCTTTATCTATTTATATATTTGATATTTGAAACTCTCCATTCCCCCCTCCCACCTTTTGAAATGGACTCCAAACCCCTTTTATTTTCTCCCCGATGATTCTGATACAAAAAAAAAAAATCGGGAACCGAGACCGTGTTGGTAGGTTCCGATCCCAAAAAGTGAGGCCCGGATCCGGCCCCCCTTTCCCGGAAGTTCGGCCTTCATCCCAATCCGAAACACTAAATTCCGGCCACAATTTTAAAATCAACCCACCCCTAATCATTCTCGAAAATAATAATTCACAAGAAGTAATTTTAGCCTTATTTTATTATTACAAAATTAAGAGTTAAATATTTAATAAAAAATTAATTAATAAGATTTATAAGCGATTGCAGCAGTCGTGTTATCAACACCTTATAGCGACCTAGCAGATATTTACTACTACATGTAAAAATAACAGTTTATCTAATTTAGGAACCCTTGTGTATTTTGACAACTCATATTCTATGATAAATATATTTGTTGGGGCTCCTATTGGAGCATCCTTTCCAATTATTTCACATGGTATCAAGAGTCCAAACCTAAGATTTTTTTTTCCGGCTTTCTCTTCCTCATCTCGTCACAGAGACCACCTACATGAGCTCTTCTGCCGCCATGAGCTCTTACGCTATAGCCAACCCTATGATGGCGCCGAAGTCTACAATTCTTACAACGGCCGTGACGGCGCAGTTGATTGCCTCTTCCCCGATTTCCGCTGCAGCATTTTCAGGTGCCACTGGTTCACCGGTGCTGTGGCCAACACCGTCCACGCTGTTCTCAAGCTTCTTGTCGCCGCCTATGTTTTTCACGACCGAGCCATACTCATTATTTAAGTCGCTGTCGCCTAGGTTTCCATGGCAGACGACCATCGTGCAAAGTCCGGCTAACCTTCCCCCACCGCCACTGAATGCATCTCTATTCTATGGCTCTACCTTTTCCGGATCACCGGGCATAGTTCGACAGTCTGACCAGCCGATGTTTGGTCTCCAATGACATCTTTTGCTCAATCAATTTCCCATATTACTACTATCTCGCAGATTGTGACCATCAAACTCAAGGCAATAGAGGACTACCTCACCTGGCGCACACAATTGGAATCATTCTTGGTCTCTGGAGGTCTTTTTGGAATGGTTGATGGTAGCATTCATGTACCCTCTATGTACACTGTTGATTTTGCTAATCGTCAAATTCCAAATACGGAGTATTGTCATTGGCTGAGAATAGATCAAACAATTCAATGCTGATTATTTACTACTATTTCTTGCGATGTTTTGGTTGATGTCCATGATTTAAAACACTCCTTTGCTATTTGGGATAGACTTCAAACTAGATTTATGTGCTAGTTTAGCCCGGTGTATGGAACTAAAATGTTTGTTGTCCACTATTAAAAAGAAAGAAAATCAATCAATGAAACATTATTTGAGAGACATGAAGAATTTGGCTAATTCCCTAGCTGCTATTATATTAATTCTCCTGCGTTGGATAAAGAGTTACTTCAATCTATTGTGATTGGTCTGGATCCTGAGTATGAATCCCTAGTCACCATTGTCTCTTTATTCCCCGATAGTTTTCCCTTTGATGTCCTGCATCCATGTCTTCTGGAACAAGAGCAGCGTGTTCTTTACCAACGTCAACAGGAGATGGCATCCAGTCACCAAGCATTTGCAGCTGCCGACCAGAAACGACCCGTGCAGTTTTACTGTGGCAGGGGGCCGCGAAAGGGGCGTTCGCGGCAGAGGTGCACAACACCAGCACGTCGTCCAGTAATCCCACGATGTCCAGCAACCGTACAGGCAGTAGCCGACCCAACCGGTTCATGGGTATGGACAGCCGCCAGTTCCGATGCAGAGGGTGCAATTTACACGTCCGAACACTTCAGGTTCCACATGTAATTCTGTTTTGTCAATTTTAAATGCCCATCCCTGTTTTATTTGTGATGCGCTAGCTCTGCAGGCTTGCCATCAGCTGAGGGTATTCTTGAATCTGTTCCGCCTCCCTTAGTCTGTCAAATTTGTTTCTCTGCAGGTCACTCTGCCC